CTGTGATCTCTTCAGGTAAGAATCCTTTGCAGACTTGACTTCTAGGTGTCACACTCAGAAGTGAATGCATAATACATCATCTGCCCACATGAGCTCATGCACTGCTGGAATCAATATTTAATTTTTAACACTGTTGAATTTAAATTTTTTAGCTGAGAAAGGGTAGCATAATTGAGATGTGTTTGACTAAAGTGATTATGTTATAAATGTATAGGTAGGGTGCCAAAAAAGCTGACAAATAAGGTACCAGGGAATGAAACAGACATCTTACAGACACATATAACATCCACGTCAAAGGCTCCTGGCAATACTGCTTAAGACAAATTTTACAAGCATTATAGAAAAATGTCCTAGTATACTTTAGAGAAGCCAGTGTTTAGTGATGTATTAGATCTTATTTGATTGATTTCTGTTAAGATTAGGAGCATACTGTGTTGCAAGAGGAAAACTGAAGTACATAAAATAATTTATACAGTCTCTATATTGAGGGCAGTTTCATTCATTGTAGAAATAAATCTCCTTCTCTGTTTGAAACTATCAATTAAAATGGTAGCCATTATTCATGAAAATAAATATATAGAGTGTTACTTGTGACAGGAGAATGTATCATGTATAAGTGGTCAATAAATCATGTTAGGGGAAAAATGATATGGAAAATTGTGGCACTTAAACTTTCAATTTTCATTAAAATTTTAACTTCAGCAAGTTATTCAGCAGTGAGACAGTCTCTGCCACGAAAACCCATGTGAGCACTCCTTGCTGTTCATAAATTTGGATAAACTACTACCCTGGCTCTGCTGACTTCCAATATCTGTCACAGACCCTGGAAAGGGGCAGTGAAGGGTCATGCTCTCCTATACCCTTTACTCACCCCTCGCTCGGTTTTGGAACCTATGGCTTTTACTTACACTCAATTTGCCAAGAACATGGGGAAAATTTGCTGGTGAAGTCAATACCCTTAGTGAAATAGTACAATGGATAAAGTCTGGTTTATGGCTTATTTTACTACGTTTTCTTATTTTTCATACCTCCCTTGCTTCTTGCTTTGTTGAAATACATCCTTAATCTGCCATTAGTACCTAAATATGTTCCTGTTTAAATCAACAGGCCACCTACACTTAAGCGATCACACTCAGCACTCAAAACACTTAATTCCAATTGCTTTGCTTTGGCAAGATCTCTAACACAGGTTAAATTTAGTGACAGCCAGCAGACTGGCCTCTCAGACCCTGCTAAAGCACCATATCTGCCATAAGCTGTATTTCTTATGCTTATTATATGTAACACCATAAAAAGATATTATGCTTATAAAATTAGCCTGGTACCTTGGAAACCCGGTTATAGAAAATGTTGCAGCTAGGATTAGCACCATAAAGTATTACCACCATAACAAGTGACATTGCTCCTCCTCTAAACACTGTCTCCTGTCCCATGGCACGCAACAGGCAGGGCCATATATATATATTTCTTTTTTCCAGTCCTCAGTTCCTATGTTAGGGAAAGTAGGGAGCAATCAAGAAGATGGGAGGCTGCAGTGAGTGGTGTCAGCTGCATTTCTGCTCTCTGCTTGCACCTGCACACTGGGAGGCACAGGTGACATGCACCATCCCCAGCTCCTCTGCTGCTAAACACTGCAGGAAGCGATTCCCAACAGGAGGTAAGAATCAGTCTTACAGATGAAAACAAAGAAGCTGAGCAGAGTGAGAAGAGGACGAAACACCTTCCAGTTCCAAACTGAAAAGAAAGACCCAATTTAGAGAGTTGGGCCCTGCGTGTAAGAGTTAATAGTTTATGGCAGTAGAGATCTTTTGGTAGCTCCCTTTTGGCTACTTAGCAAGACTTAATCAATTTTCAAGTACAGCTTAATTTTATTCATTGCCTTAATGGTTTTTATTCAGCTTTAAATTTTCTGTCTGACATTAATCTTTCCTTAGAGTTTCATTTTTCAAAGGGTTTTTATTTAAGAGGAGCTTTTTAGTCTGTATTTTGTTACCTCTTAAAACTACCTTACAGGTAACAATTAAACTGCTGCTAAGCAGAATGGTATAAGGTTTTACATGCTCTACTGGCAATAGAGCATCCCCAAATCCTTCATTGCAATTTTAAGTAAAAACTATTGGCTTTTACTTACAAAATACTCACAGCACACTGTCATTAACAGTGTTTTGCACTGACCTGCTGGCTCAATGGATCTGGTCTGTTGGAAGAAATTAGACCACCAGTTATAGCAGTACAAGGACTATTTGTTCAGCTGCTACAGAAGCAAATAAAAGCCAAATCAATTTGGTTTGTGAAGGCTGTATGTTGCCATCTGACAGACAGGATAGCTCTCTTCTCTAGAACAACTCACACGATCCTTCAAGTGTTCTTAAAACACTGCAGCAGGTTTCCTTTTCTAGCAAGAAAGGAGAGCTTCAGGAAAAAAAAAATCTTCCCTGTGGATTTGTGAAACATGCACCATTAATGGTTTACATGTCTACACAAGTGCTTGTGCTTGAATATTCTGCATATCCCGAAAGCTTCATGTCTATAAATAAATGCATTTATATATGTAAACTCATATATTTACATCATCTTCTCTTTATCCTATCTTAATTTAATTTCCCTCCTTTAGAGTGGTAAGATGAACACATATGATATTAAATTATGTACTGGCCAGCCTAAAAAACAAAACCAAAAACTTCTTGCAATTCAAAACCACTACGTGTCAATTAATCAAGCCAAAAGCTACTCCAAATTGCTGCAGATCTCCTCATTTCCCAGAAATTCCCTGAATTCCCTTCAGCATTAGTCCTCACTGTTTCAGGTTATGAAAGGGCCTATTTTTGAAGTATTGATTCTTTTTAAAGTGATCTCATTTTCGTGGGGAATGTGAGTTACCTGTATGAAAATGTGGTAAATCAGCATAAATCGACAGCCCACACCCAAGAGCAGAGGAGATGGACACTGGCTAAAGCAAATTTGGCACCCTAAAGGTTACTGGGCTGGGATTGTGTTTCTGATGGAGGCATGAAAGAGCTGACAAAGCTGGGACAAAAGAAAATCTCCTAAAATGAGGTTGCTTGCTGCCACCTCCCAGCTGGCTGAGGCTGGCAGGGCCTCAGGTGATTATTACTGAGCAATTTGAGTTGATTTGTTCTGGTTTAGAGTTTGTGGGTTTGGAAATAAAGCAAGCCCTGAGGAAGGGGATAGAAAGAGAAGATCTATGGTTAGGGACTTGATTTCTCCTTGTACGGCTGGTGAGCCTGCACAGTGACTTACAATTGGCAATAAAGTCCAGACAGTCCTTTACAAATCATGAGCTAGGTGAATCCTTTGCCATCAGAAGAACTCAATGCCTTTAAAGAAAAAACCTTTCAATGAATGTCTGTTGAAATTCAAATCTTAATTCATCCCAGCTACGCTTGGGCCTCTTTTAGAATCTCTTTCTGTGAACACTGAAGCAAGCAGTCATTGCTTGTAGAATATAAATTTAACTACACAGGTTCCATATTCATATCATATAAGGAGTATTTTTTCTATGCAGTGGGAAGCTAATTTAAATGGCATGGGGTAGGAGGAGAAATGTTCCAGTAAAACCTTATCAGAGCTCTGCAAGAAGACCAGATGAGCATTCAGCATTCTATTATTCATATGTAAGAGAAGCATGGGTGTAACCATTCTATGTGACATAGAGGAAAGCAAATAAAGCTGGATAAATAACATATACATTCTGAAATTCTCCCTGCGGTTTTAAGGGTGACCTATAACTGTTTGCTTGTTTGGTTTCTAGAGGTTTTTTTCTCCTTAAAAAGAAGATTTCAAAATTATTCTGGATTTTTGAAACCTGCTTCAATTAAAAGCCAATATTAGCCAGCAGTTGTACACAAACACAAGCAAGATTGTCAGTGTAGAGGCCTGTAAAGATGTTTAAAGTAATTCCCTATGCAATGCAGATGTGGAATTAGCACCCCCAAAGGTAACTTCACAACAGCAAACACAGAAAATGTCAGAGGAGACACCACAGCTCCAGCCTCATTATTCCAAGGTAGATAAGACACAGAACTGCTCTCTACAGAGTGATGTCTATTTCCTTTAGATATTCATCAGACACTGGTTCTTTTTCTCAAAGAAAAATCAAACAAAAAATAAAGAAAAGCAAAAAATTATAAGCCAGTAAAGCTTCCTTTTTTCCCCTCTTCCTGCTAACATGACAGAGCAGGCGATCCAGGTGTCCTGCGCGCTGTGTGGATACTCACCCCTGGAGTGAGACACCCCAGTGTCTCAGGCTCTTTTCCTCCTGCCCAGGAGCACAGGCATTTCTGAGGCTGCCAGCAATGAGGAACTTGCCCAGGAGCACGAGGAGCAGTCCCCTGTCACAAAACCCTGCCGCAGCGGCTCAGGGGCCGTGCGCCGCGCAGGTGCTCTCTTACCTTCTGGGGATGTACTTCCAAAACCAGGGCTGCCTCACCTTGTGCACGCATGTTAACACATCAGGCTGGAATGCTCAGCTGAGGGACATCCGTCTCCTTCTCCCTGCTCCCATCAGGAGTGCTACATCGCTGGAAAAGGCAGCGATGCTTCGGCACAGCCGATGACATATGGGGGGTGTCTGGAGGCTCCTCGGGTACAGAACGAGGACTGTGCTGGCACTGCCAGCTCCTTCTGCAGCAGGAAGAATTGCAGCTGGCTGCTCCACTGTCATGCAGGATGGAGCAGGAAAGGGCTGGGATTTGACATGTGTATTCTGGGGCCTGAGTCTGAGAGTGTAGGAGCACTCTCACAGGCTGCCAATTCACGTGGAAGTAGGCAATGCCTCGTACGCCACAGGACGCTGAGCTTTTATTTACACTAATGTTAGTTTTTATGTTTTAACATAACATTTATGCCTGTGCAATCACAGAGGAGATTTTCAAGCCTGAAATTTTTTGACTGCAGATGAATTACTGTAATTACATCTCACTAGAGCAATGACAAAATACTTTCTTAGCTAGGAAGAAAAAAAGCTACAAAGAGAAAGTACCTGAAAATGAATCATACTTCTGAATAAATTCCCTGGACTCGGTCGAATTCTGAAACATCATGCACGGCAATATTCATGACTAGAAAAAAGACAATAAACAAAGATACTCAGACAACCCTTTCTTTAACCAGGTAAATTGCTAGTCTGGAAACATTCCTAACTGGGATGACCTCAATACAGCCATTCTAGAAAATAGCAGGGATGCTGCACCTCCTTACTGCCCTTCTCTCTTTTAATTAAACAGTAAAACAGAAGTCACTTGTAAAATTTAATAGCAGATAAAAGAAATACCTTGAGGGTGAGGTGCTAAGAGAAAATCATTCTTCCTATTTACTGTATTTTCATGCAGAAAAACAGCTGTAGGATTTGAAAGCATATTTGTTGGGAAAATAATTTGCTAAAGATAGAAAACATGGTGGGGATTTTCAGCAAATTCCCTTGCTGATAAATGAACAGTTGTGCTTAAGCCCTTCTAATGAAGATGAGTTTACCATGGAATAAAGTCGTCAATGATGAGCAGAAAATAGGGCATTTGTAAATACAATGTAACTCAGAATGATAAAGCACATCCAATTTATGCAAAGATGTGCTTGCAGAGCATGATAAATAATATCTGCATAATCAATTAGTGGAAGAAAGGCTGAATAAATTGTTTTCTGTCAATTTATGGAAAACAAGCATAGCACAAAAAAAAAAGACAATTTGACATTAGCCTTTTAACTAGATTGACAAGCACTAAACCCAAACTTACTAATGATTAAAAGGACACAGTATTTATAACTATTTTCATGAGCCACAGAAAATTTGAATTAGGGCAAGAGCAAAACTCCTATTTTTTAAAGTAAAAGACAGGATACACAATTTAATAATATATATATATAACAAACCCCCCCACTCCTATATATTATATATTTGTTTTTTCCTTGTATATGATTATTTGGTTTAATGACATACATGGATTGAGAGGCATGAGGGAGAAAGCAAGGGAAAATATTTTAGGCTCATCAATAACTAATAATAATGGGATACTGTATGTATTTGAATTACCTCTAGTAAACAGATATTTAATGGCTGGATGCTACATCCACTGGTCTTAACAGAAAAGTTTTATCAAGCTGGGTGAGCTAGCCTTTAAAGAAATTCTGAATCTGCTTTAAAACTGAATGGGAAAAGTTGCAAATTATACCATCATTCATTTACAGAGCCATTAGCTTTATAGTGCTAAATATCTGTATGATGCATGTAGTGGTTCTAGAAAGCTTCAGTAGCTGTTTAGGATACCAAGAATACAAAACAGAGTGATAAGCCATTTAATATCCAGATATTAGCCTTGAAAGACAATGTCGTTGAACAAAAACAATTCTCTAATCCCTCATCCTTCCATCAATCAAAATAAAAATTAAAATGCTAATATTTGGGAGCTGACAGTACATATAACTTTTGCCTGCAAGAACATTCAAATGATTCTTATAATCTGCATAAAACAATTCAATATCCAACTTGAAAAAACATTCAGCAGTTTTCAATGGTCTATGCAGCATATTAAAATTCACATAACCACCAGAATCACTCTCCATGTAAAACATTCAGTGATGCCTGTAGCACTACATGCTCTGTTAGTAAATAAACCACTGCTTTTATTTTGGTGTTATTTCAGCCTTATCAAAACCTCTCTTTTTATTTATTTATGAAAAAGGTGCAGCCAAGTTCCAGAAGGTTAAAGCTTGTTGTTTGTCCTATTTACGTGACACAGCCCTAATTCCATCAGCCAAACAGATGAAAAAAGAAAATCAATAGTCAGCGGATATGATGCTGAACGGGAAGTTTGATGGCGAATGAAAAGAGAGAGTGTGAAATCTATCTCCTTACAACTTGCTTCTGACCCTGGGATTCAGGTAGGTATTTGAACCTACACAGATGGCAGTATCTCTCCTTTGGGGAATACACTTCAAATTTCCATGAACTGTTCTAAAACTGGCATGTTTTGATCAATCATATTGCTCATAATTTGATTGTTTGATTGGCCATAATTTGATTAATGGAAATAATAATTTGTTGGGGGGTCTAACATCTCCCCAGAGGTTTCACTTCAGCCCCTTAAGTCTTGAGGCTCTGGTTTATGCTTTGCCACTCGAGTGCACAAAGAGTTATTTTCTGCAGTCTTCACGCCTGTCCCAGGACACCAAGGCTTCACTGCACAAAGTTTTAGCTGCTGAGATGTGGACCTCACATAAAGACTGACGTACTAAAAGCCTGAAAAACCAGTTGTTGCTCTCTCTTCCCAACCCAGGCAGCAGTCACACACGAGAGACAGGGCTAGGGGGACCTAAGCAGCGACCTCAAAGCCAGTGGAGCAAGCACCCCGTGTTGGCAATAGTTACAGGAAAAAGAGTTTCAGCTCCGGTGACCTGGACTCTCCCAAGTGCTGCAGTTCTTGTGCAGCCTAATTTGGCATCAAGGCCAGGAAAAGAAAATGGCTTATGCAGAAGGAGGGGATGGAGCCCCCAGAGAAGCACTGGTAAAAATTTCAGGGAGAGTGCCTGTTTTCAGCATTGTAAGCACTGAGCATTTGATAATACTGCTGCAGTGAACCTATACTTGAGGTGGAGGAAAAAGGCATGTGGATATTTCCAGGTGGAAAAGTCCCTTAATAAAAATGTGGGGTTTTTTATAATATACTACACAGATTTCCAGCACTCTGACCCCATCCACTTCCTACCCACAACAAAGATATCCAGGCAAAATGTTAAAAGAAATACTCCAGACTGAGGGTTTGACAGAGCCATTTGCTCTCCCAGATTTTGAAAGAAAAAGGTGAGAATTAAGTTGTCATTAGCAACTAAATATATATTTACCAACATTGGTAGATGGAATTTTATTTTTTTTTGTTGAGAAAAAGTGAATTTTACAAATGCTGAAGACTGCATGCTTACACCAAATTGCTCTAAGAGTACAGCATGTGAGGAATGGAAATAGTTCTGACTTTAGGGTATCCACCTGTGAAATACCACATGCATGCATTTTGCTGGTTCCTGTGAGCTTCCTTTTGAACAAATCAACCACAAAACCACTCAGGAAATGGAAAAGTGGGAAGAAGTGTGAGACAGGGGATATATTTTGTGATGTGGTATAACACAGCAGTAGTATTCTAATTAACTTTTTTTTTAAGCTAATAACAAAGCCTACAGCCGGCCCACTAAACATAGGATATGTGAGGAAATAAATGAAAATAAGTGGGGAAGCTAAACATTGATTTTCTTTTATGTAATTCTGGTAATGATCAGTACCTCATGACATGTTGCTCCTCTAAAAAGATGTGTGACCCAATCATTCACAGCCTTGTGCTGCCATAAAGATTATCTGAAGCTGACTACCTGTGAAAACTCATGCAAGGAAATTTTAGAAGCAGCATAAAAAAAAATTACTCAATAGCATGAAATAGCCAGAATAGCATGAGTCTTAAATAGCTTCATGTGTAAACATGATTTCTTGAGATCATGGGTATCTCCTAGCAGTAATTTTTGAAGTTACTCCCACAAAGAGGTATGATCATCTTAAAATAAAGGCTGCAAAAAGCCATGAAGTCTACCATCTACCTTTCAGCTGCAATGGCTGTAACTGTAATTTGCAATAGCCATATTTTAGAGTTTTCTAAGTTTCTTGTCCTACATGGAGAAGCAGTTTGGTAAGAAATGCTGAAATAGACCCGTGAATGCCCTTCACCTGAGTTGCCTTGTGTGTTTCTTACCAGCAGCCAAGGATCTGGGCCATTAAGTTCAAAGGATATAACCTGTTCAAACTTCAGCATTCCATTTAATGTTAATTTATAGTTAAACTTTTATAGAACTACAAAAGCTTTACTATCTTTATTAAAGCCACATTTATTATGTAGTGAAACTACAGCAAGGAGATTCTGGGTTCAATATTTCATTGATGATTTTTTAAAAATTTATTTTAAAACAAAAATATTGGGGAAATTTAGTGAAGGCAGGGTCTCTGTGCCCTGCTTCAAGAGAGTACCCAAATACTTCAAATAGAAAATGATGACTTTTGCAAGCCACTGAATGAAGCTTCCACACAGGTTCTTCTTGTCAGAGTCTAAATTAAGAAAACATCTTTCATAGTTTGAGAAAAAGCTGTATAAATATTCCTCTCCCTACCTTGTCATCTATTTTACCATCCTTGCTATTTTTCATGTTGACCTGCTCACACACATGATAACGAAGTCATTAGCTACTTTTTAATTTACTTCTCATGCCTTAGGAGGTCACAGGTCTGGTCCATTAACGCAAAGTTCTTCTCCCTGCTGCAATTTACATGAAGTTGAGGAAAAAATATTTAAAGTCAATATTTCAGCTAAGAAGATACGACAATTTTAAAAACAATTGTGAAAAAAAATAACCTCTGACACATCAAAGCAGGGATGTTTTCTGCAAGAGAAGAATCCATAATGCATGAAAAAACCTGAAGGGATGCTGGGGATGTAGAGCCACAAAGATTCTGATTCCTACGTGACTGTAGGAACAACCACGTGTTGTCTGACATGGGGACCAATGTCATCAGCTGTATAGCTTTTCTCACCTATGGCAACTTTTCTCTATATAATAAGGCATTTCTTCATCATTTTTCTTTACTTTATAATCCCAAAAAAGCAAATAATATGCATAATTTGAACTTTATAAGCGAAACATTACAGAGCTCAATATATTTCACTTTGTACTTGTAGACTTACTTTTTAACACACTGGGAAAATAAACAAGGTACAGAATGTTTTGGTCATCTGTAAAGCAGAACAGCATATATTCTTTAGGAAAATGAAAACTGAAAGAGAATATTCCCCCACTTTCAGCAACAGAGAGAGAATAAAAGAAGGTATTAGGGCAGGCAGAAGCCCCAAAAGTTATACACAAAACCAAAATTTATTTTCAAGACCATCATTTGAGACTAGGTATAAGAAAGACATTTTTAATGTGAAGGTGGTAAAACACTGGAACAGGCTGCCCAAAGAGGTGGTGAGTGTCCCCCCTGAAAACATCCAAGAGCAGGTTGGATGGAGCTTTGGGCAACAACTCTAATGGAAGGGTTAGGGATTTTGGACCAGAATATCTTTAAATGTCTCTTTCAAACCAAACCATTCCATGATTCTATGACCTCCTCACTTTTCTTAATGCATGGAAATTTCTCCATAGGCTTAGGGAACACTATAAGAAGAAGGGACAAACTTACATGAGTAAGCTGAAGAATCCATTGCTGTTCCTAAAAATGTTGTATATAGGCAGATGCTGCATCGCTTCCATAAAGGAATCAGCCCACTTCTACACATAAAATCTCAAAGCAGGGCAGAATTTATAAAGTGTAAAACTTATCTCTTTTTCTAAACAAGGGCCAGGGAGGGAAATGAATACCTCTTTTCCTTCCCTCAAAACTGCTTTTGAAACATTCTGCTAGACACGCAGAGTGTGAGAACTTCTGCAAAGAGCACGCCTAAGAGAGGCAGAAATATGACTGAGACTAATTATTTTAGAGAAAGAACCAGCCTTTTGCTGAAAATCTAGCACAGTGCTCATGCCATCTAGTCACCAATATTAAATTACTAAAGCTCCCAGAAAGTTAAAAATGCCTTTTTCCCCTCACAGTTGCTGCCCTCAACTTTCTAATTAGTGTAATTCATAGAGAAGCAATGAAGGTCTTGAAAAAGTAATAGTTTGAAAATAGATAAAACTGACTGAAATGGGAAAACTTGAACACAACTTGAGATTGCATTTATGTGGCTAGATCCCCACAGACCTTTATACAGCTGTGTCCTTTTTATCATCCTTATTGAAAGAAAACTTTGGTAAGGTAAGGGTTGGAATAGCAGAGATACTCACTGATTTCCTACAGACTCTTCTTCAGTTTTGTTTCACCATTTTTTTCCAGGGGATTCTTGTTTATGTAGCACCTGATGCTTTTCCCTGTCTCCCAAAAACCAAAATAGGAATCACTGATGCTTCATCCTACCCTATCTCAGCTGTCTTTAGGCCCTGAAACTTCTGATTTCTCATAATGTCACGAGCAAAAACCGAACTTGCCCCATGAATTTTAATGATTGTTTAAAACTTTTTTTTTTTCTTTTAACTGCTAGCACTCCCAGGATTTTTGCTGTTTGATGTTGAGAAGTATGGACATGCAAAGAAAAGATCAAAGTACACTTCTGGTTAATAAAACTCAGCAAAAATTACTGCTCAAAATGCTGGCAAAATTAGACATCATCAAAGAATCATGGCTGTTTGAGGATTGAGGGGAAACATTAAAAATCAGGGTAGAAATATTTTTTAAAAAACAGAGGAAGGAAGAAAAATTTGGTTTCAGAAGGACAGCAGGGAAAGGTGTTACACATCTAATTATCTAACTTCATATTCTCATTATCACATCAGTTTTCAGATAAAGTATCAGAAAGCAGATTTGAAATTCCATAGATCAATAATATTGGTAGTGATCAATGAGCAGGTTTTCTGAATGAAGGCACAAATTTACATTTGATGTCATAATAATACATAGTTAAATTACTGATAAAATATAGTACTCTGCTGTGTAAGGTGTGGTTCCTCCTAAGTGTTTAGACAGTCATTTTTAATTTGAGTGTGTTCTTACATCAAAACTAGATGATTACTTGGGTTACTCTTCCATGTTTTTCCCTACTCAACAAATCCACTCCTCTAAATATAATCCAAAACTTTTGGCTGCCTCTGCAAAAATACAGAATGCTACTAAAAATTTCATTGACCCTTCCATGTGAGCAATCCAGATAGGACAGTGAGTTCAAGGTGAAAACACTGCTGATTTTATGAAGTTGTCTTGTATCACTATTGACTGACTGTGCTCCCTCCACTTCTTCATGCAAACTGAACTCTACCTGGCTTGGCTGTTACTGGGCACTTGAACAGGTGTTTCATTACACTCGTCCCAAAAGATGTGAATTCTTTCTCTCGATAAGCAAGACACTGAAAAGCAAAATAGATTTCATCTGACAGCTGGGAGCTTTATTAAACTAGCCCCACAGGAAAAGTAAAGAGATGCAGAACGCTGTGATCACAGTGTTATTGAAATTGTCCACTGCAGTCAGACTACAGAATCTGCACACAAGTGTAGGGTGATGACACTGAGCTTCCCCTGCAGAGTACTGAGGCAAGGATTCAGTGACATTGAGTGCCTAGAGGTCTTAATCTCTTCAGAAGAGGAATGAGAAAGCCAGTGCCATTCACTCAGAGTGAGTGAAATTTAAACCCACACACAATCTCAGCCCTGCCTCTCAAACTGCCTGTGTGCTCCGGCTGCTGTGTGGGAGATGAGCATAAAAATATGTCTTGTCCAGTGACAAACTCATTTCTTCTGACCTGGGAAAAAGCAACTTTTCAGAGTCTAGAACATGCCAGAAAACCAGTATTTCCCTAAGAGAAGGAGAGCTATAAGAACAAAGGAGGTACCAGGTAATACCACTACCTACTACTTTGCCATGTTACAAGGGGTAATGTTTTCTAAATTGACACAGCTGGTTTACATGGGCAGTGGAAGAGGTGATAATTTTTAGTCTTTCATTGCATTTTGAACATAGATTTCAATTGCTGTCTTTCAATTAAACTCATAGATGATAGACAGATGATAGATAGATAGATAGATAGATAGATAGATAGATAGATAGATAGATAGATAGATAGATAGATAGATGATAGATAGATAGATAGATAGATCTTTCTCCTTACCTCTTTTTTTTAATAGATTATGCAACACACTGTTCATGTGTGAATTTGTTCGTTTCAATAACTGAGATTTAACCAATGGGGAAAAAAAAAAAAATAAAAACCACCAAGAAAAACCAAAAGAAGCATAAGCAGACTCCCTAAAAATTCACAAAGCACCAACCATCTTTCTGGGAGACATCATTGAGTTAAGGCCACCTTTCACTCTTGTTATCATCATAACAGGTTTAAAATATTTTTCAGTAAAGTTTCCAGAGCTTCTTGGGCTTTCCAGCCACAAGTTATGAAAACACAAATTGCTTTCAAGCAATTGAATAACTTCTAATATCAGATTCTATAAGTAGAAAAAAACAAGCAGCTTTGTACTGATTCCTGGGGAAGATTCTTCTTCAATGGATATTTGGCAATTTGGATTACAATCCCCTTTTTTCCTGCTTTGCTCTCACAGGTACATCAGAGTATTTTTAACAGTTATTTACTAGAAATATTTTAGAAACTGCGTTTTTGAATCTGATTCCTTTTCAAGTAACTAATGCAGATGCCCCATATCTCACCAAATACTTTTCATGAACCCCGTTGTGTTTTTCTTTTCTTTCTTATAACTGAATTTAAAATTTGCTCCTTTTTGTTCTTTAATGTGTTCTGTTTTTCTTCCTTCTTTTCAGGTTTTTCAATATACAGTGCATTTCACATCCTTTTCCATTTATTCCATCTCCTTTTCGTCTTTTTTTGTCCTATTGTTTTTCCTCCTTCCTTTTCCTCCACTATTTCTCTTGGAGTTGACACTTCACTTCTTTCACTCCATCAGTCCTTCAATGGACAGGTTGATGTATTGATTTGAAAGGGTTCTCTAAAATAATTTCAGTACCACAGGAACATTCAGATGTACACAAGGCATGTTCATTTTCAATCCATTACGTTGTCATTGGAGCGCTGAAACCGCTGGAGTGCAGTGCCAATTCTCTATTTTGCTTCTCCAGAGGTTGGAAATTTTCCAGCTAGGCACAAATCACAAGTACCAGAGTCGTGCCCATCCAAACTGCAGCCTGTACTCTGCCCTGCTCACACCAGGCTCTGCTGCCAGATTGCTTGAAAGAATCTACAGGAAAGCACACAGCTGTGGCAGCTTCTAACTAAATGAATAATGCATCATCAACATCTGTAGGATTTTTGAAATGCTAAACAGCCAGCTATGAAGCCTCTGACAAGGACACAGATGGTAATGGTGTTGTTCTTGCAATGGTTCCACCAGGAATGGTCAGAGTTTCATAATCAGACTGGACACTTAATGCCTGCAACAATCCTCTCCTTTAGCAGCACGAGCTCAGTGCCTCACAGAATGATAAATGCTCACTTTGTGGGCTGCATTTAATTCCAAGCTTTGTTAAGCTAAAAAAATCCAGTAATGAATATGGACATCTCAAGCATGAATACAGATGCCAACACCAGTTGATCGTACCCAGCAGGTGAATTTAAACTGACAATCCAAGCTAAGGTAGAATAATTAAAATAAATTTTCCATTCAACACAAAGAGCATAAGGAAGTCCTATATTTACCTCAGGAAACTGCAAACAACTAAGTCAACTTTTCCTAGATACCAAACAGTATTATTTCATGGGATAATGTGTATTTTTCTGCTTTTAAAATAATATCAGTATGCATTGCCTGCTGAAATAGAAAGAAATGAAATGTATCTCTGAATACAAGCAAATATATCTGTTCATCACCCACTGGTTTTAGGACATTAAAGGAGAGCACAGTGTCTTATAATTTATTCTTTGCCTTTTTTCCACCAATTTATTGAGACATTGAGCAAATAAAAAAAAAGGCAAAAAAAAAAAAAAAAAGGCACTATTGCTCAAATTAGAATCTGTCCCTGAATTCAGAAACAAGCTAAATGAACTAACTGAAAAGTCAACATAAAGTTACCAGTACTGAGAGTCAGAGGAATTAAAAGGAGCTAATAAGGAAATCCATGACTATACAAAACAAGCTTTGAGAGAAGGCATGATGTCACCAATCAGCTCCTCTGGACAGCTGCAGGCTGAAATCCTGATCCCAGACACAACTTATCTTCTTAGCTGGGACAGGCTCCCCAGAAGGATGGAGGATTAGCTCCTTTATGCATGGACACAGCGGAGACAAGTCCATTACAAATGTTAAAAACTGCACCCAAACCATAGGATGTAATTTGGAAAGCTTAAAATACAGGGGGAATGCTCAAGATGAAAACCCAGAAATTCCAGGAAGCCTGTCCAGACAAGCTAGGAAAAGGATGCATTGTTTTAACAAGGGTTCTTGATTAACCCTATACATTACTTTATAAATAAAAAAAACCCTCTCTTCCCAGATTGCTTTAAATTTAGGAAAAGGTAAGAACTTTAGCAAAAGAAACCCAATAAAGAGCAGTTACCTTTCCTCTTTTAATGCTGGAAACAGGATATCCAGAGACAGCTGCTCGCCTCTGCAAGACGTGGAGCTCATAACCAGTGGGCTCTTTAAGCAACCAGCAAAATTTCTTGGGGAAGGGATGAAACATCCTTATTCCTGAGAATTCTCTGTGGCAAAATCTCAAGAGGATAAGGTCTTTCATCAGCCACATGGCTCTCCTCAGGAGCTGCTTAGCAGCTTTGTGAGCTCATGCTTTTGTCATGCCCAAACTACTTACTTTTTCCTCCTCATGCTGGTAAGATGTGCTTCTGCTGCTTGCTGACAGAGATGTCAAGAAAAGTAGATTTCCCTTTTCCTTTTGGGTGCTTCTCTTTGAGCCTGGCTCCTTCAAGTCTCGGGGTCATTGCCAGAAGTCTGGCCTGGCTCTGAGACTGGTGGTGCTAGCTAAGCAGAGCCTGCAGACAACTTTGCCTTTATCCTTTCATCAGACAAAGAATTCTGTTGTACCTAAAATCATATTTAAAAAAAAAAAATATAAAAAACTTCCATTAGAAACGCTTGGCAGGGTGAGCAGGGGGAAAGGAAGACTGAAGGAAACATAAAACAAAAGCACTTTGTAAAGTCAACAAATCCTACAAGGGCCTGGAGTGGGAGACTCTGGGGACCATCAAATGGGCAATAGTTTGGTGGTTGAATGTCCTCATAATATCACAAGAGGTGCAAAACCGTGCACAAAATCCTCAGCTATAGTTTTAAGAGTGAGAAATTTGCTATAAAAAAGAGTCTCTCAGGTCATACAATTATTTTCCAGAGGGAAAAGAAAGTGCACTGTTCCTCCCATGGGAGAAAGAGAAGCATTCACAGCCACAGGAGAAGCAGGCTGTGAGCCCTAGGGTTACAAAAGCTGTTGCAGCCAAGATTAAAACCCAGTAAGAATTCTGCTTAAACAGAGAGGAAAAACTCAGGACCTCTGTTCTGCAAACTGAGTGACGACTTCTAATAAACTACCAGATAAAAACAAAATATCCACAGAGGGATTGGAAATATGCATGGTGTATGTGTGTGTAGCACTGGCCAAGACAAAGAAAGAAATTTAAAAATTAAAGGGAAAAAAAATAGTCACCTCTAGGACTCATGTTCCTACACAGAGAAAAATGCGTACACCTTGATGCACAGAATGTTAGCATTTTGCACATGCAAGAGTCTGAGCTCCAAACCAAAACACAGAGGGCCTCAGTAACCTGCCCAAGGTCAACATCTAAAATCCATGTAAGGCTCTTTGATTGTGATTTGCCTTCTAATGTGGAGAAAACTCACATGCTGAGGGATGTGCTGACATACAAGAGCTCCTTCTGCCTAATTTGCTATTCATATAAAACTTAAAGAATCTGATCTCAGTAGATATTTGTTCACATCACAAAGCTACCGGGTATTTTGAAGTAATCTGTTGGAGTCCAAAGACTCTGCAGAGGAAAGACCCAGAAACCCAGAACTGAAACAGAAGACCTGTTACAAATCAGGATCAAAGGATATGCTGACAGATGCATTCAGGAACCTGAAATAATGTTTCCATGCTCTGAGAATAGTTTGAATCCAGGCTATCTCCTGTTAATATTCATATGTAAGGCATCTATCAAAAAGTTAATAATGGAGTTATTACAGTAATAAAACCTCTGCTCTCTTGTGAAACTTTTACACTTGGTAAGGATTCTCTTTTTTTATTTTTTTTTTCTGCCTTAGGAATCTTCTTCATTTTGCCACATCTCCTTCTATTGCTAAATTTCTTAAAACCTCCTGATACCTACTTAAGCACACTATATTATAATATAAATATATAATATATAATATATATACTATATTATATATAATATCATATTTATATATTAATTATCGTATATAATGTACAATATAGTAATATAGAGTGTATGTATATATATTTATATATATACATATATACATATATACATATATACATATATAAATATATAAATATATAAATATATAAATATATAAATATATAATATACAATCTGCTGTGATGCTCTCAGGCCGGCAAGGGCCTCAGTGCTACAAAGCCTCCTGCAAATACCTGAGTCAAACCTAGAAAAGGCCTTAGACACTCTTATTTCCAGTTATATAGTTAATTCCAGTTGAACAGCCAGTGGAAAAAGATTCAAAATTACACTTCCTGTGAAATACTTTGCTGATGGTCAGCAGCCTCACTGCTGAAGCAGTGCCCCTCTGTAGGATGTGTCCTTAAACATGCAGAGAGTCCATACATGTTACCCATTTCCTGAGAACATAAAACCACAGGACCTTGTCTCTGATTTGTCTGCCAAGCTCTGCTTTCTGCTGCGTATTTGCCACCCAAACTGGTTAAATAACACTCTGATGTAAGGAATACAGCCATTTTTCCAAGGCACTTTAATGCTCAGCTGTCTGGTGACTGTGGTGTTCTGACCAGTGCCTTTATCTGTATATACACACCTACCTACATATCCAAGTGTATTTCTATTTCCATGGGAGAAGCTGATCTATAACAGGCACTGATACTACTGATTACCAATGCAAAGCCTCAGAACAAAGGATCTGTTTGGAAAGAGTATGATTTGTAGCCTTAAGATCTTAGCAGTGTTTCAGTGTGTTGAAGAACCTTACAGAGTGAGAACAAAATGTCTTATGAAAGTTTAAATTATGTAAAATACTGAGATGTATTATATGAGGCATTTTAAATAAGGGTAGAATAAAGGCTAAATACTTCTGAACTGTCTCAGAAAAATTAATCCTTCTAAATTCATGCACCATTACTAGAGTCTGATATTAAAATGCCTCCTGCCTTTAGGCTGATGTGGTTATAATTATTCACTTGTTTTAATTCATATTTTATGTACTGTATGTATTTTTATGCAGCAGCAATTGTGGTGGCATCCAACAATTAAAAACAGGCATAAATTAATCTCTCATTTACAGGGGAAACATCTTCAATTAATGAACTAAAGGACCTTGTACAATTTTTAATTAAAGTTCTGAATAAGCCAATACATATATAAATCTTGTGAAATGTGAACTTTTCAGGAGGATCTTTTTAATGACGCCTTGGAGGCCATTTCATCCCTGTTGTAAAAACAAGAGCCTAAGCTTTCTGTCTCCTTAACTACTCCTGGGTGCCCCAGGAGCAGGCAATATCCTCCAGCACCATTGCAGCACTAGTGAGTGTATTGACTCCTAGCCTCAGAAGAGTTATGTTCCGTTTTTAGCCCTCGCTCCCTGAATGACCCTGGGAAAGAAAACTGTGTGGTTTTTTTGTCTCACAGAGGTGCCACTGTGCCAAGCTGGGCAGTCAGGGGGAGCTGACTGTGGCATTACTGACTGTAATGTCTTTTCTATAACAGTTATTGCAATCACCAGGCAGCACTTTTCCTTGGCAGCGTTCATTCTCTAACACAGTTCCCATCTTGGATCCAAAGCTGCTATTTTGGATATCGACCCACAGAACAAACGAGTATTTGGGGCAAAACCCCCAGGCTTCTCTCTGGGGTGGGGTGACTATAAGAGCACCTTTCATATTAATTAGGTTTTTACAGTTCCTGAATAAGAAACAGGAATAGTGTGGTGACTATTGCCAAATAACCTAAAATGTCACTACACCCAGCAGCCCAGCAGGCTTTTTCTTGTAGCCACTAACGTGATGGCAGCTGAAAGGAGACTGTAGAATATATAAATCTCCCAAGCAGTCATGCTCCCAGAAGGCACTCAAACAAGAACACATAATGAAAATGTTGAAGTTGAAACAACAGAATTAAGAGCTCGTGGCAAACATGCACCAAAGGAGAGAGAAAAAATTAGAAATAGAGATACATCTCTAACACATATATGTTACAGAAAACTTTCTTTTTTTTTGACACTATCAGCCCCAAGGCATCCTTTTGATAAGAGTGTAAGAGACTGTGGCAAAGATCGGGCTCCCAAATAGCTGGGTGCTAAATGGACAACTGGTTGAAAATTAAAAATCAACATTGATTTTAATTTTAACTGACCACCACTTTTCTGCCATTAAGTAAGCACCTGCTGTACAGAAAGAGACATCATCCTCTGAATATTTGACTGGTGAATATCAGAATTATCAATATTTAATGTGAATACTACTCTTGAGTAGTTGCACTGCATAAGCTGTATTGCAGACCAAAGTCCAAGAATATATTCATAACTTAGTTACAGTGGAAATCTGTGACCATAATAAAATAATATGTAATATTGCTGGTTAAGATTCAAATATACAGTAATAAAAGCATATGTATAGAGTACTGATGTTTTTGAAAAACTTATTTTTAAATCTCCTTGTGGACTTGGGCAAAGCTACTATCTTTCTTTAGATGTAGAATGGATTTCTATTGTTACCTTTTGTAGGCTAGGAATATTCATGTTGAAATGATTGAGAGCACTACTCATCAATATTTAGATTTGAAAGACACGTGGGAAGGTTATCTATACTAAACTCCTCAAAGCATCTAAGACCACATTTAAAATTTTAGAAATAGAGCTAATGTTTGCAAACCTAAAGATAGATTTATCCTATACATCATGAAATATGTCCCTATTCTATATCATGAGTAGGAAGTCTAATCAAAGATTAACTATCTTTCTTGGGATAGCCAATTAGAATATTCTGAATAATTAATTTCTACACTGCTCCTTGATTACTCCTTGCACAAATGCATATGTGTATATATTTCCATAAAGACAGTTTTTGTACATAAGGGAGAAGTGTATTCTTTTAATCATAACCATCCTAAAACTCAAGGTCAAAAATAAATTGCACAGTAAGGAGCAGTGTATGTCTCTCTCCAGTGAAATTCTGTGTCTCTGCTTCATCAAAAGGAAACCACTACATGTAGGCAGAAGACTCCTGGAAATTAAATTAATTGTGCCATGCAGAGGAAATGAAACCAAGTAGCTCCATAGCACGACAAAGTGAAATGATGATAAAGGCAGATTTTACAGTGCTTCCATCTGTCACATACTTGTCATAGATCCATTGTCATATACTTGGCATCCTAAATTATATGATACCCTATAAATCTGCTTTTTACTTTAAAGTTACAAAGTGTTCTTCTAAAATCGTTTCAAACCAAGATAGGGACATATGTATAAGTATGTGTACAACCTATGCTGAAGAGAAAGGCTATATTGCAAACTTAGGCACTGAGATACTGATTAATGTCAGCGATATTTCCATTTAGAATT